GACAGCCAGGCGCAGGACTAGAAACCAGACGTCCGAACTTCTGCAAGAGAGCTCTTTCCACACCACAGGGTGAGTGCTCTGTGTTTAGGTGTAGGTTCCAGACCTCAGGTGACCATTAGAATCACCTTGGCAGCTTCCCCCAAATTCCAGTGCCTGCCATTGAAATTGGAATCTCAGGAAGGGGGGAGTGAGGGGGGGCGGTGCGCGTGCTGGGCATCAGTATCTTTAAAGCTGCCTTTGGGAAGGCCAGCGCACAGCCAGAGCTGAGAACCAGGGCCACATCTTCCAACCCCGCTCCCCCAACTCGTTTCCTGGGCACCCCTGCCTTCTTTCCCGCCCCGGCTCCCCGATACTGGCCTTGGCCCATCTGCCCAAGCTGCCTGCAAGGTTCATTGCTGCCCTCACCAACCCCTCCGGGAGCTGCCACCCAAGCCCAATGCTCCAGACAGAAGGCCCCGAGAGGAGGTGTGAGCAGGGAGCTGGGAGGCAGGTGGCTCTGACAGACAGAAAGCAAACAGCTCAATGGGTGGCAGGCTACATACATTTTATTCATCGTTAATTCAGACACCCTTCAAGCCGTCTCTCAGAGCGCTGCTCAGAAAAATAAATGTATTGTTTAAGAAACCCTGCAGGCCTGCGCCGCATGCTCTACCCACCCCTCCTGAGAGAACATGAAGCATAGAAAATATTCTGTAAAGCCGTGGGGAGCTTCCCTACGGAGGGGAAGGGGAGGGGAGGAGGCTAGAAGAAAGGGAAGAGGGCTCGGGCCAGGTGAGGGCAGAAATCTCATAGCTTCTCAATGCAGAGACCAGACCGGCTGGGCGGGGCAGAGAGCAGACCGGCTGGGCGGGGCCGAGACGCGGCGGAAGCCTGGAGGCGCGGGCCAAGCTGCTCCAGGCGCAGGAGTCCAGGCCCAAGTCCACGAGTCCACGCTGGGCTCAGCAGCTCTCCACCCTCCCCGCCCCAGGGGATGGAGCGAGCGAGCGCGTTATATAACCACCGCCACAGAGGCCCCAGCAGCCTCCGCTGGCCTCAGCAGTGCCTGCCCGCAGCAATCTGTCCGGCGGTGCTTTCCGGACCGCGTGCCTGCTGAGGAGTTGTGCTTTTTGTTGGTTAAGAAAGTAAGAAGTTACAGTAAGATGAAACCACCTGGCCCACAGCTCTCTGTGGGCTGCCCTCGGCCTCAGTTCCCCAGCACCTCGGGGCTCCTTTGGCCGTGAGAACTCAGTCTGCCGTCACCCCAAAGCTCACAGGCAGAGGGCCCCAGCCAGGGGGACTGACTGGATGGGGGTGGGGCAGGAGCCTGGGTAAATTCAGCAGCTATTTGCCAGGGCTTGGCTTGGTTTGGACGCTCGTGGCTTCTGTGTAAAACACAAACTCACCCAACGTGTGTGTGGAACTCCTCCCCAGGCAGAGAAGAATTTTCCAGGCTCTAGTAGATCTCTGGGGAGTTAAACATGAGAAATCCTTCTTCTTAAAGTGACACAGACTAGGATGTTTCCTTGGGGAATAGAGCTAGTCGCTCTTTGTAAGGCTGGTGTGTGTGTGTGTGTGTGTGTGTGTGTGTGTGTGTGTGTGTGTGTTACTGTGACGTATGAGGCTCCTGGCAAATGCTCAGGACTGTCCGGCATTGTCCACTGCCTGAGACCTCTGCCTCCTTCACAGGCCAGGAGGCTCCAGCTTCAGTCAAAGGACCTAAGGGCCTGACCTTCTGGCCTTATTAGCAAGCAAGGGCCCCGTGGGTGAGCCGTCTGGGGTCAGAAGACCCGGCTATTCGCCAAGACCCTCTGCGTGGCTACAGAGGGTGGCAAGGGCCCTTTAAGAGCTCATGCCATCTTTGCCCTCAGCCCCAGCATCCCAGCATAGGAGGGGGTGAGTGTGGGCCTACGGTTAGGAAGTGGCTCCTGGTACTGCAGTGAGCAGAGACAGCTGTGTGTCAACCCGGAGACCCCACATGGTGGGAGAGGCCACTGCGTCTAAGAAAGTGGAGTGCTCTCTTACCCCTCTGAAGAACCTGCACCCAGGAAGGGGGTCCCTGTCAATGACGGGGAGGCCCCACTCCTGCTTGTCAAGGACTCTGGTTCTCAGTGACACCCTTCAGCAGGGTGTCAGACAATCCCTTTAGGTGTGCTCTCGGCTCCCTGAATCCCCCTGAACTTGGGAGCCCGGCTTTTCCCAGGAAGCATTTCCTGGCACCTGGGGAGCCTTTTGGCCTGAGGTGACGGGCAGTGATGTCCTGAGATGGGGGGGGGGGACCAGAAGAACACGGGCAAAAGACACACCTGCCACTGGGTCCTGAGCTACCACTGCACGTTGGCTGGTTGGTGTTCTTCTGGAGGCGGCTGGGAGGGAAGGGTTATTCCCAGCCCCCTCAACCCTACGCTTCCTTCAGAAGCTTGCCCAAGCTGCCCACAGGGGCCTCCTTTCAAAGGCCAAGTGTCGGAAAAGAAGTGAGAACAGCGGAGGCAGAGGCATGCACATCTTAGGAGGCACGGCTGACAGAAAAGACTGCCAACGGGGCTTCCGAGTGTTGTTCTCTGGAGGCAGGTCCCGTTCCCCCCTGTGGGGACGGGATCCTGCACAGTCCTGTGTGTGGTCCCTGGGGTCGCCTGGGCACCTCTTCGGCCTGTCTGCCTCAGAGAGCCGTGCCCGCTGGGTCTTCGGCCCCCCGTACTGTTCCTGGGGGACCCTCCCTCTGGGTTGGCTGCTGTTTGCCAGCCATCTAGATGAGACCTCACCATCTAGATGCCTCTACCATGGGGATCTATCTCTACTTCCCTCTCTGGATGGCTCAGATCCCCGACTTATTTCTCGTTGCCTAGGTGACACGTCTAATTGGATGCTTTTTAATCTTTTCCTTCCTTTAAGGGATGAATCTGACACTTTATTTCTAGGCCCCATGAGAGGGCCCTGCCCTGGGAACGTGTGCCCGAGGGTATGGTCCCTCCCGTGTGACCACACTGTCACTCAGACTCCGGGCGGTGGGCGGGGAGAGGGGCGAAAGGGGGGGGCGGGGATGCTCAGGAGCTTGCTGGACAGTCACCAGTGGATCCTGGAAGCATGGCTCTCCGGAAGCCTGCCCTTTAGAAGTTAGCAACACTGACCCCTCTCCTGGCCACTCTGCCTCCCTGGCTACGTCCCCCGTTTAGGGCCTGTGTATAAAAACCTATTTCAGCCCAAATTAGTAGTTACCCGAAGTAGCTGGAGCGTCATTTTCCCCCTTCTGGCATGAACGAGAAGGGAAAAGGGGAGACTGACATTCAAGTGTGACTCTTAATAGTGTATGTGCATGCGTGTGCGTGTGTGTGTGTGTGTGTGTGTGTGTGTGTGTGTTCCAGACACATATGCTTTCCTCACCGCCAGGGAGGGAGGTTTCACAGCTTTCAGTGCTTCTCGGGCAGACAGCGGTATGAGGCGTCTGGTGCTGTCTAAGACTTCCTGCCAGAAGCTGTCTATGTGTGTTGCTGGGTCATACCATGTCTGACTAAACGCTGCCATTTGTCCTTAGGATCATCCTCTTTCCAGATGAGAAACATGAGCCGAAGGTTTTGTTCCTTCATTGTCCAAGACACCCCCCACCCCCACCCCTTCCTTTCAACAAAGGAGGGGGACCTGGCCCTCCTCCAGGTCAGTGACCCCCATGTGGCAGAGGGAGCATCTGGGAGAACCTGTCCCTCAGCTTGAGGATCAGCCAGGGCCAAAACAGAATCCTCAGATTGTTTCCATTGGCCTGCTCCCCAGCTCCCTCCCTCCCGGCTTCCTCCACCTCCAGTGCGTACTCTGTAGGGGAAGCACATTCACTTGATTATTTGTGGGGGCCACATAGGGTTTAGGATGGCATGTGCCCCCCAAAACATGATGGGCTCGGAAGCCCAGTTCTCTGACGTGTGTGAAATGGCTGCTTTGGGTTCCTGGCAGAGCCCTATTCGTCAGAGCAGGAGGGTGGGCTGGGGCTGTGCTCTGCACCCTCAGGCTCTCTCTGAAAGGGAAAAATGTGGAAGTGATCAGAGTTAAGGAGAAAAAAGAACCCGCACTAACAAAGCAGAACCTTGTCTGAGGAGACGCACATCCCTGGTTAAGGATGAGAAGCGATCTGGTGGGTGGTGCTGGGGAGAGAAAGGAGGGTTGGGGGTTCAGAGCTATGGGTGGAGCCTCTGAGATCAGGCAGGCGACACAGAGTGGGACTCCTGCAGCCCAGAGCTCCCCTCGGGCAGGCCACCCAGGTTTCCTTCATTTACAAGGAGCTGCCCTGGGTACTGTGCTCAGTGGAATACAGGCTGAGAAAGGCCAGCTAAGCCCCTTACCATCGCCATTTCCAAATCTCGGAAACGCCACGGTCTCCGAGTCGGTGCTTGTTTCATCTCATTGCGTAATACTACACCACTTGTGTGTGTAGCGGCTGCGCTATCTATATGCACCAGGAGGTAACAGATGGCCCTCCCCACCCCCATCTGTCAAAACTGTGACTATCTCACTTCTGACGACCAGAAGGAAGCTGCTAGGCTGGGCCAGGATTCTAAATGCTGCGTAGGTAACTCGGAGCCACGTGAAGTCGCACCATATGTTTTGGGGTTGCCGGCTGCTTATGCCCATGGGGACGGACCGGGTTGAATGCCAGTCTGCACCACCCAGGGACCGGCACTCTCTCCTGGCTGCAGTCTGCATCGCGTGAGGGTCTGGGTGCCACTTTCTCTCTTCCTGGAGGAGAATCTGCTGGGGGCCACCACGGTTCTCCAAGAAGAGGGGGCCCACCAGAAAAAAACAGGTTTCCCCCACAACCTGCCCCTGATCACATCAGGCCTGTCCAAGTAATATTTCTTTTAAAAAAAAAAAATTTTTTTTTGGTTTCATTTTATTGGATAAAGATTAAGAAAGCGCCAGCGTCTGAGAGAAGGAGAGCAAACCACGCCTGGTGGCACGCCAGCCAGCCTGGGGGTCCCTGGTGCACGCGGCGAGGCGGGCAGGCAGGCGGTCGGCGGTCGGTCGGGCGGTCGGGGTGTCTACCTGGAGGCACTGGTCTCGGCCAGGCGGTTGTTCATGATGCCCAGCGCGCCCACGCCGCCCGAGAAGCCGTTCTGGCGCGTGTGGGCGCACACGCCGCGCGGGTAGCCGTTGGCCGTCTCGGACAGCTGCTTCTGCAGCAGCGCCAGCGACACCTTGTTGGAGGCCGTGAGGTCGCGCATGGAGATGAGCTCCCCGGACAGGCGGCGGCCCTCGGCGTCGCTGTCACAGGCCGCGGCCGCGGGGTCCACGCCGAGTGCGGTCAGGCGGCGGCGCAGCCGGGAGCCCGGGGTGATGGCGTTGCGCCGGGCCAGGGGCGCGCCGGGCGCCGCCGGGCAGCAGCGCGCGCAGCAGCGGCAGCTCAGCTTGCGCAGCATCCAGTTGAGCACCTGCTTGATGAGGATGGAGATGACGTTGAAGAGCGAGTAGATGCAGCACACGCCGAGCAGGATGAAGAGGAAGTTGCCGAGGCGGTACAGCCCCTGGTTCCGGTAGGCGGCGCGCTGGCTGCTCACCAGGTCCCCGAAGCCGATGGTGCTGAAGGTGACGAAGCAGAAGTAGAGCGAGTCCACGTAGTCCCAGCCCTCCACGCTGGCGTACATGGCCGAGGCGCAGCACGACAGCAGCACGGCGAACAGGCCCAGGATCAGCAGCACGTGGTACACCGACGGCTTCCAGCCCGCCAGGCCCTCGGCCTCCGACAGCGCCGAGCCGCGGCCGCCAAAGGCGCCGGGCAGCAGGCCGCTGCGGCGCAGCTGGTGCTCCCGGCAGGCGCGCATGATGAAGGCCAGCAGCGAGATGATGCGCTCCAGGAAGAGGTTGAAGAACAGGATTGTCCCAGCGCAGCCGAACAGTCCGTAGGCGATGAGGAAGGCCTTCCCACCCACGGTGGCGGGCGTGGTCATGCCGAAACCTGTGGAGACAGGGCAAGGGTCAGGCGCAGTGTGTGTATGCAGGGGATGACGTGGCTCCTGTCTGGAGTGGTGTCATCACTCCAGTGAAGGGGAATCAGGATGGAGACATTTCTCTCCCTTAGGGGCACTAGATAGACATTGTTTCTGATCGTGGCAGACCATAAACGGTTGGAGGAGGAGACGTGGCCCCTCCTGTTGGGGGGTCTGTAAAGCAAAATGGGTGAGGCAAGATGGACACTAGGAGGGACCCATCAGGACATAACAAAATCACGGCACAGGTGCAAACCACCGAGATGCCGCACAGCAAGTGTCACCTGCTCTTCCACCCCTCCGATCACCTGGGCACACCTGGGCTTATTAGGATAGAGTTCCATAAAAACTTCCTTTTATATGGGGTTTCTGGGTACCAGGTTGTGTGTGTTCAGCCCAGGTAGCTGTATTTGATGGCCTCTCAAAAGGGGTTTATGAAACTGACAAGAGGATTGTTTGAGAAGGAGGCCACAATCTTCACAGAGTAAACATGGCTGCCATTGAGCATCAGCTTCTTCCCACCCAAGGACCACATCGTCCTTGAGCACACTTGCCAAGGGAACGGTTTTGGTCCGATGCGGGCCTGTGCTGTGTGTGTCTGGGGTCGCCTTTGTCTCAGCAGGGCTGTTGTGGGCCTGGGCAGCTGCTGCTTTGCTTTGAGCTTTTATAATTAAGTCTTAACTTACCCACTTATTCAAAGCACAGTCTTGAGAGGAGATTCTTAAATCAGTTGATTTCTGCAGAAGGCTCTGCCCATGCCATGGAGGGCAGCAGAGAGTGGCATCTCTGTCCTCGCAACCTGAGCTCTCAGCCTGCGGCTGGTGAGGTCTCGTTGTGGGACTCGTGGCTGCCTGACTCTGGTTACAGGAGGGGGTTTAATCTCTTTGTAGGAAGAGTTGCTGTTCTTGGAGTCTGAGCTGAGAATGAATCGTCTGTCTGAGTAGCACTATAGCACCTTTCCACACCTCTGCAGCAAAGGTCAGGGGTTAATTCATACCCAATATGCTGCTAGTAGGGTGGGGTGAGCCCCAGGAAGTGTGTGTGTGTGTGTGTGTGTGTGTGTGTGTGTGTGTGATGTATGTGTGTATGTAGAGTTTTGTCTCCCTGGGCTTACTAGGTCCTTAAAAGGGTCTGAGAAAATATTTTTTTCAGAGAAATTCCTTAAACGTGTATGTTCATCATCTTCAGATTCCATGGAGGAAATGCCCATTTGCCCTACCGTGGTCTTGATCTTAGGCCTAATGGACTCAAGTTAAGAGAAAATCTTATGATCACGACCCTCACGTCGAGGAAGATGGATTATATCCCTACACTTAGAATTTATCCCCAAGAGAATGAAAAACCAGGAATTTGATGGAGGAATTTTGCTCTTCTTTAAAGCCAACTTCAAGTTCTTACGTTCATTAAAAAAAAAAAAAATCACCTCTGATTTACTTCTTATCTGCACGTTTGCTTTCAACAGTTTTAGTTACTCATGGTCAGCCATGGTCTGAAAATATTAAATGGAAAATCCCACAAATAAAAAATTCATACGTTTTAAATCATCCACCATTCCGAGCAACGTGGTGCCATTTCATGCCATCCTGCCTAGGACATGAATCCTCCCTTTTCACAACATATCCACTCTGTATGTGCTTCCCGCCCATTAGCCACTGAAGTAGCCAGCTTGGTTATCACATCAACCAGTACTGCATGTGCGTCTGTCCTCCTGGATGTCCCTGAGAGATGGAACCAGAATGCGACCTGTTTCTCCACCCCCTGTTCTCCTTCTCTACCGAGGTAGGACCTTTACATGGCAGCACCACCAGATATGCAGCTGGAAGATCAACCGCCACCCATTCACTCATTCCTCATCAGACATGAACTGTGACAGTTTGGCAGGCCTCACACGAGGCTCAGGGATATGGTGGAAAACCAGACAGATGCAGTCCCTACCCTCACAGAGTCTCTGGGCTGCCTTCTTAGAAGTTTTGTACAGATGCTCACCCTTCTGTTGCCAGCAGCTCATCCCTGAGCCAGGACACAGCTTTTCCCTGCTGCCCCCACAGAGAGGCTGGGCCAGAACTTGTCCTGGGATCTGTCCCCTCATGGATGTGACTGCAGGCCTAACATGACGTCAAATGCTTGATTGGCTGTGAGTGTGGCACTGTCTGCCCAGAAGTGAAAAGGCAGGTCACAGGGTTCTCTGACAACACAGAGGGCACCCGATGCAAACATCCCTCGCACTGGCCCAATCCCTGAGGTCTGAGCTCTGGGGAAGCTGAGGCCCTAGGGTTAGGCTTCCTGCTGAGGACAGTGGGGTCCCTGCCTGGGCTGCTGCTTCCCAGAGTGGAGGAGCGGTCCCCCGAGCTCTGACAATCTGTGGGAGCGAGGCTGGCTCTGGAGAGGGGCCTTGGAGCTTTAGGCAGAGAAAAGACAAACCCAGGCATCTCAAGAACCCCTCCTTCCCCAATCACACCCTGCAGAGGCGTAATCTGTCCCCGGGTTTGCACCGAGCCTGCTATTTTGTTTATGCGACAATTGATGTGCCATCCCCGTTTGCAAAGAGCAGACACTTGGGGGCTTTATTGTGCTACTTTGACAAAAGCTGTGAAGCTCATTCCCACAGCCTGTCTGGTGCCGCCTTCGCAAATGGGGCCCTCGTGACAGGGCCTCGAGAGTTCAGCTCAAGGAATCTGGAATTGAGACGGGGAGGCCAGCTCTGATCTGTTTTGGTGGCTCTAAGTGAAGCCTCTTTGCCAGATGCTGGACACGTCAAATCCCTCCAGCCATTCTGTGAGGGAAGCATCATCAACCCAACAATGTAGGCCAGGACCTGGGCCACGGGAGTTGAGGGACTCGCCCACATTACAGCTTGTAGGTGGCGGAGCTGACCCCAGAGCCCTTCCCACTGTGCCAGAAGACGGGAAATCTTGGCTCACCACCTCAGGCACCTTGTCCTGTTGGTTCTGTAGTACCAACTCCGAGGAGGAGAAATATAATTGACAGTCCAATCTAGGGAACTTCATGGATATCAATGCATTTAATCCTTTGAGAGTAAAAGACCCTACTAATAATTACCCCCAGAGTAGCATGTATAAACGAGGGCTGTTCCAAACAACTGGAATGCATGATTAAAATGCAAATTTTGCCCTAGCCACGTGGTCGGCAAACTGCGGCTCTCTAGCTACATACGGCTCTTTGGCCCCTTGAGTGTGGCTCTTCCACAAAATACCACGGCCTAGGCGAGTCTATTTTGAAGAAGTGGCGTTAGAAGAAGTTTAAGTTTAAAAAATTTGGTTCTCAAAAGAAATTTCAATCATTGTACCGTTGGAATTTGCCTCTGTTGACTGAGTTTGCCGACCACTGCTCTAGCCGGTTTGGATAGAGCATCAGCCTATGGACCAAAGAGTCCCGGGTTTAATTCCAGTCAAGGGCAGATACCTTGGTTGCAGGCTCTTTCCTGGGCCAAGACCCTGGTCGGGGCTTGTGCAGGAGGCAACCAATCAATGTGTTTCTCTCACATCAATGTTTTTCTGATTTTCCCTTTCTCTTCCACTCTCCCTAAAAACCAATGGGAAAATATCCTCAGGTGAGGATTAACACACACACACACACACACACACACACACACACACACACACACCCTGCCCCCGGCCATGCAGATTTCAAGGCAGGTCCCAAGCCAGAGGTATATTTAGGAGGTCAGGAGAGAGGCCCAGAAATCTGCATCTAGCAAATGTCTTCAATGATTCTGATGCAAATGGGCTAAAGCACTTTTTAAAAAACAATGTTATAAGGTATCCCCACTGTGCCTTCTGATTGGAATCTGCCCAATTTCAAATACTCTGGTTGAAATTTCTGTTCCTAATTTCAGATTTATTGAGATACTAGAGGCCCTATGCATGAAATTCCTGCAAGAGTAGGCTTTTGCAGCCCCGGCTGCCTTGGCCCTCGCAGCCCTGGCTTCATCTAGATTCTAGATTCTAGAAGGTCATCCGGAAGGATGTCCAAACGGTCTTTCCACCGTTTGGCCGTTCGGTCTATTTGCATATTACACTTTTATTAATTATCAATAGTTGACATAAAATGTTAAGCTATTGAAAGTATACATCACAATGCTTTGGTGATCTCTCCTGACTGGCTAGAGGAGGGATTAGCAGCCTCACTTTAATAATCAAGCAGCCTGAAGCTCACACCCAAGGCCAGGTCAGCAGCCAGGCCTTCCAGTGCCCCTCCCTCTCCACATAGGGAATAGAGGGAGCTGTGGGTGGGCTGTGGGGTGGAGGGTGGAGGGTGGGGCTGCTGCCAGGCTGCTCTGTGGCTGAAGCTCAGACACTGACTCTCGAGGAGAAAAAGGGAGTCTTCTGGCCATGCTCCATGGAGGAGGGCTGGACCTGAGAGGACACTGGGCCAGAGAGATTCCCTAGGACCCTCAGGGCTGTCCAGGCCACCCTTATCCAAGTCACTTTCCTGGGGAGGACAACCAGCTTGGAGAAATCCAGAACCTTTGGGGAGAAGAGGGGCTGGAAGGATGGCTGGGAAAAGGCGTTAAAGCATTCAGTGAGGAGTGGACATGTGGAGGGGGTAACAGGAGCTGACAGTATTGAGCCCTCACTATGTCCAGGCACTTTGCCAAGGCTTCATGTATACCCATGCATTTCATCCTCCCAGCTCTGCGGCACTCACTCATTGTAAGCCACAGCTTTCCCCCCTGAATTTTAACACCCCTGAAATCGGGATGGATCTTGCAATGGATGACCTGACAGTTTTATTTGATAGCATTTTAAATTCTTAACGGTGTGTAGTAGTGGTACATTTGTAATCGATCGAGTCTTAGATTTGACCAATGACACTGAGAATGATTATCATCCCCAATTGTGAGATTAATAAACAAAGTCATTTGGAAGATAAAGAGAGGTTAGATAACTTGTCCAGATCATAGAACAAGCAAGCGGCAGAGCCCAGATTTGAAAGCAGAGGAAGAAGC